CCACCCTAATATATGTCCATTAGATCGTACCACAAAACAAAGCTCGCCATACATCTTAGAATCGTAAGTTTTTTCGCAAGGCAATTTGGAAAAAAAAACAATTTTTCTAAACGAAAGTAGGGGTATTTTTTACATTTTTCGAAATATATTTGCCATTTATAGTCGTATCTTGAAGTACACTACAGTGATGTTCTTATCTCGGGCAGAAAATTTTTCTCTTTCAAACTTCATTGAGCGCAATTACCTCGATCTAAAACTTATCCATCAGATCTAAGGACGCATCACCCTAATGCCAGTAAATTTAAGTATTTCGATTATTCCAGTAGAACTATTTTAAAAAATGTTTATATTACCGAACGTTCGGCAAAAAAAAAAATCCAAATTGCCTTGCAAAAATACTTTATACTGAGGGGTGTACGGTGAACTTTTTTTTAGTTTGCTTGTAAGGTGTAACGGTCTTATATACATATTTGGAATCAACAGCTAGAAATTTGCCTGGATAAGCGCTTAAAATAAAAAAGGAGCAAAAAAAAACGGTAAAGCAACTAACTCATATATTAAGCTCCATCTACATAAGTATGCCCAGTACTTAAGCCGAAAACTTTGCTTTAAATCTTCTAACTGTGACGTGTCTAAAAATCAATTTATGCATATGCAATTGACTTGAATCATTCATTGATGGGTTATGAAAAAGTCAACACCAATTTCTGTATATCCTCTCTTTCTTCTTCTTTGTGAATTTAAACACGTACCACAGCTCAATCAATGTTCGATCTTTGCAGGTTGAGCGCATTCCCAACGAAATCAAATAAATAAAAAACGCAATGCGAACCTCATTTATTTGTATTTTAGCCTGGTGATAAAATTTTGTTAAAGTGAACAAAAGACAATTCAGAATAAAAGGGCAAGTGCGGCAAAAATTAATTGACGAAGCAAGCTTACAGAAAATCGCATTTGTGCATATACAGTGGACATACGCATGTACATAAGTACACACAAATAATAGACTTATTTAATAGTCAAGTCACACGTTTCATTGATTCCATAGTAAAAGTGATAACAACTAAGTAAATATTTGGCACTTTGACAAGTGCGATTGACAATTGTATAGCAACAGCTAGAATTTATTATGTGGTTGAGTGAATATGCTAAAAAAAATCACCAAGTAGTAGGGCAAAATATTGCATATCAACTCCCCGTCGCGCCTTGAAGAGAGATAGACAGAAATGTAGCTACCGAAAGGTAGAGCTAAATTTCTACCTCCATCCAGGGAATACTTTTATTGTCTCCCGGAAAATATGATACGGCGAAGCCGTTGTCCGTTAGAGTTCCCCCAAGAACATAAATGTCGTCGACGCTCAGGTATTCAAAGAAGAGTGTACGAAACGATCATTGAATTCGCGGAGTATGGCCGATTCATTACTAGTTGGTTTCATATTTCAGTTCATAGTTCAGTTCTATTATAAGTATACGTATTCGTCGTAGTTTTATTAATGTCGGAACTAAGAGAAAACAACGCGTGCATAAAACAGCACTCAGTATTGTTTCGTCTTACTATTCGACATCGTAATCGCCTTCGTATTTGATTTCGTATTCGTGCTCTTTTCCAATCATCCCTTTTCATCATAGTCTTCTTCTTAGCTTTAGCCTTAGTCCTTATATTCGTCTTCGCAATCGCGCTCCGCCTTCTTCTTTTTCATCCTCTTCATGTTCGTATTCTTCGTCGTACTTCGTATTCATCATCGTATTCGCCTTTGCCTTCGTCCGCTTAATCTTCGTTTTCGTCTTCGTGATCGTTATCGTTATCGCCTTCATGACTTCGTATTCATCGTCGTCGTCTTAGTGCTATTCGTAATCTTGGTACTTTTGCACTTGTCTTATAATTGATTTCCACCAAGCCTTAACTGCAGTTTATGCCGTATGAAAAACGAAGGGGATGATTCCACCTATTAAGAGGAAGCAAACGAAAGGAAAAGAGCAGTACTTACGAAAAAAAACCTTTCCGATCACCCCATGCTGGAATTACTTGAACTTTTCTGAGCTCTTAACTGCAGTTAAGCCTTTGGTGGAAATAGGCTATTAGCCTTAGTCTAAGTTCTAACCTTAAATTGCTGCATGTTACATTCCTTTAGTTCCTCTCAATATTAATGTAGGTGGAAATCCAAAAAAAAAAAAACTAAGTCCAGATATAACTCTCTCATCGTCGGCCATCGAAGCTGCCGTCAGGACCTGGGTGATCGATGAAAGGCTTCGATGGCCTGCAGCATGCACAAAAGCAAAACTCATGTTGCTCTCAACCTTAGAAGGTTTAGCTAAATAGGTGTGTGCTGTCATTGAGCAGATGGGATTGCAGACAACTTGTGCTATTGCTGACTGGTCACTTTTCGTGAGTGACGCAAAAACTTGCCTTTGGTCGGTATACATGATAACCCCAATTGAACTTCGCGCCTTGTAGAGGATGAGACGTTGGAGCATTTTTTTATGCTTCTGCCTCGCCTTTTCAAGACGTTTAGGTGTAAAGATTTTAGCAGCGATGCACTGAGAGACGAAAAACTGTACACTTTGACAAGCAATAATATGCTGTGATTTATTCGTAAACCATTTCCATTTAAAACAAATTAAAAGAACATGAAAATAGTAGAATAGACGATATGTAACCTGTAGCAGATGTAGCTATGTACACGTGGCAATTGATCTCAGGATTAGTTTTATTTAGCCTACCTGCTAAGTAAATGTCAATGAATTAAGAAGCCCTCAGATTGTTTGTGTTCAATGTATCACTTCCACAGCAGAAGTTCAACTTCAGTTCAGTGTTGCCGCATTAAAAATATTTTTCTACCAAAATGGTCACACAAAATCTACCAGAGTTCTACCAAAAGTTTCATAAATGGTGGCAAAAGCAAGATTGACAATCAGCCCAATTCTAAATCATCCCGCTTTCTCTCAGCGGATTTAGATTCTCGCGAACTATTTGGGAAAATTATTTCTGCCTGAAATTATTATAAATCAGATTTTGAACTTAGAAACGGCCTTTTTCGACTTACATATTTAGGCATTGGGCTATAACGCACCCGGTTTGACTAGAAGGGAGAGCTCGTTTTTTGATGAAGCTCCGCTTCTGGCTAAAATTGATACCAACTGCTATCTTGAAAAGTTATGTAGATCAATTGAAAAACCGACCAGAACTGATTAACAGAAAAGGGGTGTGCTTAGGGTCATTGGCTAGGTTTTTTCAAACCGGTTTCAATCGGTTTTTTTTTTTTAATATTTTTATGTGTTTTTTTGAAATCCTGGTTTTTTGAATCCCGAGTAAACCGAATTTTTAAAATCGAATAATCCGGTTTTCACCTGGTTTATTTATATATCAGAATATTAAAATTCTAAATATTTGTGTTATTGAGAATAGAATGAATTTTATATCTGAATATTGGAAATTTTGCGACTGCAGAAAATTACTTAAAAAATAAAAGGAAATCCGAACGAGAGCCTATCACTGTTTTTTTTGTTATAGCAGTTTACTTAACTCTGTTTAGAATTGACGAATTTGCTGATTAAACATATTTGTCTAGTCGGTCTGGTTCAGCGGATGCTGTATTCCCATTTCTGAGACAGTCGGTTATACATGCTAGAGTTTTTTCTGTTTTACTTATAATCCAAAGTACGCCGAACATATTTTGCCTTACTGATTTTTAAATTAAAGCTATACCTATTTTTAGCCAATCATATTTTAATTTTTGTCATGATTTCTTACTAACAGTAAGTGTTAATGTTGACAAAATATGGAAGCCGGTTTTTTCAAATTGCCATTTTTCCATTTTTCGAATAACTCGAAACCTGGTTTTAGAAAAAAAGGGGAAGCCTAACCGCACCCAGAAATTAAGATTTCGTGGAAATGAATGAAGTCCCAAAAATCTTCTGGCAGAGTCTACCAAATGCAAAACGAATCTACCAAAATTCCAAAATTAAAATTTTGTAAAATATTCTACAAAATTTAGTAGAATTCTACCAAAACGGCAACACTGCTTCGGTTCATTGCTTCGCACGTGGTATGGCAACCGAATTTAATTGCTACGTGCTACGTCCTACGTCTTCTTCTCACCACACACCACAAGTGATAAAATTCTTTGTAAGCAAATAGAATATTGGACTTTGGCGCCACTGGCGACCGAACTTAATTGTGCGCATCCGATTTTCGTTGTCTGTCAGCCTTTTTGTGGCTTTCAAGTGATTTTATTAAAATTTATTTCATTTTCAATGTAGAGGAATGCATGCGCCCAGGCACTTGGATCACTTGAGGCGCCGCAATTTATTTAGTTTAAAGAATTTCATTGACTAAAAGTAGGAAAAATGCGAAATATAAATTAAAACTTCTACCGTTAAATTCTATGATATAAAACATATAAATCAAACTAACTCAAAACACTATATAAAGTTCATAAAAATTCCAAAAATGCTCATAAAAATTTTCAACATTTTATTCAGAAATTCTAGAAAATTTTCGAGTATGCAGTTTTGTAGCCCATTCAAGTTTAATCTAATGAGGTGCAAGTTTCAATCGGCTAAAAATATCGTTGATTTTTGAGATTTTTTTTTGAGACTGCTTTTGCGGTCTTTTTATATAACAAGTGCAATTTACAAAATCTGGTGTTGAATTTTTGAAACTTGCACTTCATTAGACAAAAAATAAAGTGAATGGGCTACAAAAAGGCATAGTCGCAAATTCTGAATAAAAAGTTGAAAATTTTAGCGAATTTTTTTTTTTAATTTTTGCGAATTTTATATAAGGTGTCAAACATTCATTTATATGGTTTATGTGTAGAATTAACTATATTTTCATAAATATGTAATGAATGCAAAAAAATTGTTCATGAAAATAATTGTGAATATTTTATAAGAACAAGATGTACACTTTCATTTGTCACCTAGTGTATATTACCTTTGCTATTTTCTGTTTAAATACCTAAAATTTGCAACAAGTGCTCGAATATTGTTATTAATAAAATACCGAATTCTTTTCAGCGCCACATCCAACACCTGCCAATAATGCTGATGGCGACGATAACTTCCGGCGTAATTATGCCGTCGAATATGGTGCACCGTTAATTACACCGCTAATGGAATATGTAACGCTCGAAATGAATACAAATTATACAATACGTTGTGAGGCCAATGAACCATTGCTCTGGAAAGTAACGCCTAATACGCCGGCACACGAAGTGAAAACATTCGATACCGGCGATCCGCAACGACCATTTGGCAGTATGCTCTATCTATTGGAGATATCATACCTAAATGTGGGCAGTTACTATTGCATAAAAGAATCGAGCGTTAGCAAGAGTCTCGACGAAATGCTGGATGAAGAGGTGGTCGAATTGGTGAATAACAATAAGGCATCCTCCATTTACGTATACGTCAACGGTAAGTAGAGAATGTGTACTTTGTTAGGTAATACCAAAAAAAAAAATTTAACATTTTCATTTTTTGTATTTTTCCAGATCCTGCGAATTTGTTGGCATTAACGGAATTTCCTATTATAACCGCTTATCAGTATCAAGATACAGTGATACCTTGTAAGCCGACTATGCCGAATATAGAAGTGCTTCTAACCACATCACATGGCGAGGTAAGTTTTCCTAAAACATCTTCAATATTGCTTTCAAGCTCGTTTAACATATCAAGCTTTTCACTTGCTAATTAGTTGAAAGCTTCTTTTTTCACTTAACTAATTATTCTTGGTTTTATTAGTATAAGCACAAACATAGTACTTATACACATATCTTTTTCTCACTTTCATGGTTATGGTTTCTACATAATTTTTATTTTTTTTATTGTTTTTCACTTATTATCTATTATTATTGCCTTTAGGATAATGGTGAGGCAAAGGTTTTATGTTCCTCAAAATCGGTGCCCCAGCTGACAAGTTTTCCACCTGGCAATGTGTATGAGTCGATAGAGTTTGAGCCAAGCATTGGCTTTATCATACGCAATGTGGAAAATATAACCGATTTGGAATGTTTTAGCCGAAATGGGACCACGAACAGTTCACATGATTTTTTTGTTATCAAAAGACGTATGTTATATTCGAATTTTTTATTCTATGTACATACATATTGTTAGTAGATATATAGGATTTATAGTACATATGTACATGTATGCATAAATACTAGTAGATTACAAGCCATATGTACAGATATATTTGAGTGCTCTCAAATATGTATTCATTTACAATATATATATCCTTCCAGTTGTTTAATATTAGTAATGTATACGTTTTGTATAAATTCTCAAACGGTAGTAATCCATAATATGCATTCGATAAATAATGATTAGTCCATAATATGTAAAAATACTCTGAAAGTAGATATTAAATCTGTATCCACTTAAAAAAAAAATAGGAGCATCTAGTGAACTCGTATGACGTCAAAATTTGTAGTCAAAAAAAAAATACCCACAATTGGAAAAACTTTCAAAAACTGTGAAAATTGTGTTTGTATCAAACAAATTCAAACTACTATTTCAATTCTACTCTTTAGACAGTTCAAAAATATATTCAAAGTAAACTCTTCCTAAACCTCTTTCGCCTGATATTGTAATACATATTTCAATTAACTGTTGAATTGAGTTCAATTTGACTTTTAAGCTTATAGTTTAGAAATAAAGAATTTTCAAAATCATTTCGATTGACAACCATCTTTTAAAAATTTATTTCGCTTATAAAATAAGTTCAATTCAAACAGGTGACAACCCTTTCCAAACAACACAAAAAAATTCAAAATTTTCAAACTATAGATTCTTAACACTCTTTCGTTTGACATCGATATTTTAATATTCCATACATATAACTTGTAAATAATTTAATTTAATTTGACTTTTCAAACAGGTGGCAGCCCTCTCCTAAATATTTTCTTATTAAACTTCTTTCGTCTGACACCCATATTGTGATACATATTTCAATTACCTAATTGACGTCAATCGTAACTTTTTTAAAAGAGGCAACCCTCCGTAGTGGTAAAATGCATTTAACTTATTAAATAATTTTAATCAAACTTTTTAACAGATGGCAATACTTAAAAAAAAAATTCAATTCAATTTGATACCACAGTTTTAAAAATCGAACAAACGGTACAGAAATGTGCTCGCGTACTATATATGTATGTACATACATACAAGTATTTACTACAAATTCGGATTCTGCGGGAAAACTGCACAGTTTTTGTCGGAAACTTTTCTCTGAAATGGACTTCCGATTAAAAATATGGACTTCCGATCAGTTTAACCCACTTCCGGTCGTAACCCGAAGTCGATAACAGGACCAATCCATTTCCAATAAACAACATTTTCATACATTTTAGAAGGAGTGGGCCGGTGTTCTTTAAAATGAGCCTGGCTTTGAATGTGAGCAACAATTTTGAAAACAACTTAAAAATTACATACACCATGCTAGGTATACAGGGTGTTTTTTACAACTTAAAAATTGTTGTTCACACTCAAAGTCAGGCTTATTTTAAAGAACGATCTTTTTCCTATACTATGGGCATTTTTATTTATTTTACATAACGTTCTGTTGCGAAATACATATGTATAAGGATTTATATAGAAGGACCTTGTGAAAATTTCTCAAATTCAAATACCTTTTGCATATAATAATAATAATAATAGATTGGCGCTTACACATATGTTAGTGTTTGGCCGAGCTTCTCCTCCGATTTATGGCGTGCGCCTTGACGTTGTCACACAAAGCGGAGGGACCTACAGTTTTACGCCGACTCCGAACGGCGATTGTATTTTTATGAGAAGCTGTTTTTCATGGCAGAAATACACTCGGAGGTTTGCCATTGCCTGCCGACGGACGACCGCTGTTAAGAAAAAACCTTTTTCCTATATTTTTTGCGATGTTGCTTTGACCAGGGCTTGAACCCAGGTGTTGTGGAGTGGAAGCGCGCACTGCTTACCACTACACCACAGCGGCCTTTTGCATATAGATAAACAGATTTTTAGGTAATTTTTTAATGGCAACCTATGTAAATCAAGATTCTCTCTCAGATATACATAGCTATGTATGTACATACATGTAATTTAGATTTAGGGGATATGTAGGGCAAAAACACAGCCGATTTTAAATTAGGTGTTCCAGGGTTTTAAAAGCCGCATAGCTCAAGCAAAGGTTACAACAAAATTTGATTTTAGGGCTCTTTCGGAATACCTTGCCGGCCCCTAAAAATGCTTTCATTATAAAATCATTTATACACGAATAAGTCAGGGTACCAACTTTAAAAAACCCGAAAGTGGAGTGCACACATAATTTTAAAGGTAACCTCATACACTTTAAAAACAAAAATGCATAACTTACTAACTATGTACAATTTAAGTATTTATAAATATAAACATGTATAATATACTTATACATACATACTATATATACTATTTTGAAAGTTAAATGTAGTTAAATAAATATTTAAACATATTCCTTTTGATAAAATCTGACTCTGAATATTTTTGTAAATACATGCATATGTACATATTTATTATAAAGTAACTTGTAAGGAGTAAATTTTGAATATAGCCAGTACATGTAACTCGTACATTCGTTTATTTTATTCTCCCAAAAATCACCAGTAGATATTTATTTTTTATTTAATTTAAGAAACGCACAATTTGTATATTACATCAATTTTGAGAGTAAATGCTCACCCCTAAACGATGTTTAAATAGCCAACCAAATTTTGTAAATTTAGTTTTAATTTCATTCAGGTCGATTTTAGCTTACACCAATTATAAATGAAAGCATAAGTCTCTTTTTTCTAAATAAATTATAAATTGACAAATTGTGTTTAATTGACAATTAAATAACTATAATTTCTTAATTGCTCAATTTAGCTGGCTATCTGAACAAAGCATTAGTTAGCATACACCGACATGACTAAATTTTACCGATAATCTACTTGTAAATAACAATTTGATTATGTCCAAATTAAAACAAATATATATCTAAAACATCAACTTGGGGAGGGAAATTTTAAGGTGGCCTCTAACATTAGAAGGCAATTTATATTTCTCGCTTCACTTTTAACTTCAAGCCAATTTCGTGGTGGTATTTTTATATGCATTTACACAAGCATACTACACACTGTCACCACTACTACGCTCTTCACACGCTTACCGCTAGCTCTTCATAATAATTTTTAAGTGTTTTTTTTTAGACTTTCTCAAATTCAACACAAAAAAAAAAAACATTCATTCATTGCTTATTTAGACATTTTCCAGTGAGAGTACCGGCCGTTATGATCCACAACGCGGTTTCGTCGTCGAAATACGTGGCATTACCGATAGCGGCAGCTATATGTGCCGCCCGAAAGTGCCGTCTCTAGATAATGAAGAGGAGGAACAAACCTTTGAGATCCATTTTGTTGGTAACGAACCTATTAATCGTGAGTTTTGCACCCCACATTTGTGATTGTTTTCTGTGTCTCTTGTACCTATCTAAATATTATGTACCTTATCTCTTTCTTATGTAATACTGTTACTTTTATTTCTAAAAAAAAAAGGAAATGTTATTGAATTTAGAGTTAGAATAGCTTAAATTTTCATGCAATGTTTGAAAAATTTTACTAAAATTGGCAGATGGGACGAAGGATTAATTTTTTTTTTTTAATTTTATTGTGGTTAAAGGTGATTGAGATATTCTTTTGAATTTTTAAATTGATTTTTAATTTTTTATATTTATAGAGATAGTGAATATAACTTTTTCTAGATAAACTATAGTATATTTATGACTTTTTTAACAATTTTAAACTTCAGATTTCTTCGTAGTTGAAATATTATTTTAAAAAATGGTGTTGGTATAGATTCATTTAGAGGAATTTCGAAAAATCTATTTTAGTCTTAGACAAAAATCAAGCACATAACTATTTGCGTACATCTTTAAATACTTAAAATTTTTTTCTTTTCTCCCCGAAACACCATTTTTACCTTTCTCTCATTTCGATGGTTTTTGCATATACTAATCAAAACAACAAAAAAAAAAACGACTTTAAAATTTAAAAAAAAAAAAACAAATTCACCCATAAAAACAACACCGATATGAATGTATATAAAATCTCAACAATCTGAAGCATCGGATATACCATCGGTGGAGGCTACTACTCTAGCTAGCACAATAAACGCGTCAAAACTCAATTCCATTCGAACCATAATCCCAAAAGCTAAGAGCATTCCCCCACCAAGACCCAGCCGAAGCACGAAAACAGCAACAAGTACAGTAACTAACAAAATTGTGCCTGTTACTAATCGCATTTTTGATGTTGTTAATCTAAGAGCAACGCATAATTTTCATAAACTCTCAAATAACTTTGTTGTAGCATCGGATGTGGATGTGGATGTGGATGAAAATGTGGATATTAATGTTGGTGTTGGTATTGGTATTGCTGTTGATCGTCTCCCTAATCCCGGTGATGGCAATATTGTGGATGATAATAGCGTTAACATACTAGCTGATGATGTTGTTGGTGTTACTAATAATAATGGTGAAGGTTATGGCAGGACGCACGTGACCACTACCACTGACGACTATCGCAAAACGCATAAAATAGCTACAGACGCTTACGCTGACGCTGAAAAAGTTAGTTTTGAAAATAGCACGATTTCCACGACGACTGTTTCACCGTTCGTCACACACGTGCGCGCAACGAAGCGCTCATTTTTGCGACGCGCTGCCCCAACTACAAGATGGCATAGTTCACGCTTTCGTGGTACACAGCGTTGTAAGTTTAAAAGTTTATGGCAAAATTTGCACTTTATTTTCAAAGCTTCTAATGTCCAAATAGAATTTTCAAACCCTCCTAATTCCATTGTCGTTAGACGCACGATTTTTTGTTATTCCATTTTATAAGCGCATGCGCTCTAATAAGTTTTGTAATTTTTTTCTCATTTGTTTTCAATCTGAGTTTTGCTATAATTTTTGCCATAATACTCGTAGTTATCAATGTTCTCATAAATGCCATTTAAAATACCATTTAATACGCGAAACATTATTTATTCGAAAACTTTGGATCATCTGGAATTATTATCTTGTCGACCACCGGTCAGAAGAGCTTTGCAACTTTGCTTGTCGGTATTCTCGCCTAGCGCTCACTGAGCCTACTACGAGTATAAGCCGATCTGTAAATGAGTAGTCTGACAGGAAATTCTATTCTCTCCCTGTGCAGAAAAATGACCTCGAGGGTACCCTGCCTAGCTAATTCATTTGTCATGCAGTTTCCTGCAATCTTAGTGTGTTCTGGGATCCAAATAAGCTGAATATGAAAGTGCGATCGAGAGAGAAGTCTGGTAGTCCCTGATCAGTTTCGATCGTATTACAAGTGAACCTAGAATTCTGATTGCCGCCTGGCTATCGAAGTAGATGTTAACCCTCCTAATCGATAGTACACCGGAGCATGGCGTTTCCGCTAGGTTAATTCTGTGCTCTGGGTATCACGTTATTAATAGCTTGTTTTATATCGTGGAAGGCACCAGCTACAAAGTTAAAGTACTTTGAAAATTGTAGGCAATCCAGATTTCACTAACCGACCATTTAGGTAGGCATGCTGGCACTCATGCTTTCGAGAAATCCTATCTCTTATATACTGGTAAATTAGTCTCTCATGAAGTGAGGCTGATTGATCTAAAATTCTTCGGAGATGTATGACAACTTTTTCTTTCAAGCTTCAATAAAAATTGCAGCTATCAATGAATTCAATTCCTTTAGCTATTTAGGCTAGGTTGCTATGGCTGCTTGAACCAGTGGAGACACACGTTGACTCTCCTTGTGTTATTCTTAGGAAAGAAGAATAAAAAATGGAAAGGGAATATAAAAAAGAAAATGATAGATGTCCCTACCTAAATCTAAGCCAGTTATGACCAAAGCATTTTCTGCAGAGATGCTTTTCAAAACTTTCTGTAGATTGTCTATGACCGCTCTCAGGGTGAACACTTTATTTGCTCATCTCGGGTGGTCTAAGCGCACTGCTCCTAGGAGATATTATTAAAAAATCTATCAGGTTATTGAGAGAGGTTATGGATTTGGAAATTAGTTTACTCTAATAGGTACAGCTTTTTTTCTAATTGTGCTTGCCGATCTATAAATAATTTACGCCCATCGAGTGCAGTTCTACTATATAAAAGCTTCACGTGAGAGGTAAATTTAGATCCTAAAAATTGGTTATGGGTACCACCTTGTCTACTTGCAACGCTTTTGTAGTTTTAAGTGGCTTCTTAAACTTATTATAAATTTTCTATTTGAATTGACTATTTTTTGAGCTTTTTTAAAAATTTTATATCAACGAACACGCGGTCAAGCCCAAAGCGGTGACCAACACTTGTCTATGCTACTTATTACCAATAATTCCGTTGTATGACTCTACAAGTTCATTACAGCTGCTTTAAACTTTTTAAATTAGACAACTGCATTAAATACAAATGGCCGCCGGAAGCTTTAAAGTAGAAAACCTAAAAAAGCTTAATTCGCTTACTCGGCAGAGCTAGGTAAATAGAATTACGCATAGTTTTTATTATGAAAAAGCTTTTCTTCAAAAAAGCTTTTAAGTTGAAAGCTTATACGCAAGGTAGCTTGTTTTGAACTATTGCTACTTTCTTAAAATGTATTGTAGTATAAAAATAATAGAAACTTTTTAGATCTACACTATAGAATTCTACGTACAAGAGACCTTTGATGAAGACATTACGCACAAATTCTAAATAGAAAGCTTAAGTGGGCTATGGTACGTGCATTTATGTACTTGTATGTTAATTTTCATTCAACTCATTCAAAAGTCTGTATCACATTTCATTCCATTAATTCAATATATTTTCATATGAAAGCTTTTTCACGATTTTTATCAAAAGCTAATTACCCTAGAAGCTTTTCTAAGAATTGCTATGAATTTATGTACATACATATACATATTAATTTTTCCCACCCGCTTTGTGAAAGCTACATATCTTCAAAGCTTTCACAAAGCTTTTATTAATTTTTATTTTTGTAAATTTTCTGTATAAATTACGTTTTGCATGGTTTTTGTACATGTGTAAATATTTTGTATTGCTCTTTTGTTGCATGCTTTGTATGTATGTATATTTTGTGTTCTATTTATGCATTGTTTTGTATTCATCTTTTATGTATTGTATTCGTATTCCTTATTCTTTTCTGTTCTATGTATGATCCCAAAGTAATGTTGGCTTTTAGTTGTTAACAACCTTTAATCACGAAAAGATTTACTCACATATCAATATTTTTTATGAAATTCAACAAAAAACAAAAAAAAAAACAAACACAAATTGGATTCTTAGCGAGCACGAAATATATCGAGAAACCGGTCATAACCTCCAATTCTCGTGGACATGTCAATGTTGGCGAAAATTTCACATTAAATTGTTATGTGAAAATCGCCTTCGATGTTTCCTACACAACGCAATGGAAAACACCAGCTGGAGTTGAAGAGGTGAGAACCAAAGATAAATATGAATTAATTGTAATAGGAAGTTTCCTAATTTTAAACAAAAATTATTGGTCTGTTCACATATTCCGGGTTAATAGGTTAACTGCTTAAAGATTATTATTCTTCAGTTTATTTCTGTTTGGAAGCAAAATAAAAATATAACCACATAGTAAATGGATAACCTGATAATCAGCAAAGTGGGAGCCATCCAAGTGTTATTGGAAAACTTCAGAAAATCTAAGTGACATTTTGTTGATTTCAATGTTTCGCAGAACTTCTGCCAGTAATCTTTCTTTCCGAACCTTATTCGACTTTGTTCGTCATTGATGCTTTTCCTATAGTTTTCCCAATCTTCCTTACGTCGCCTGCATTTAGGTCTATATCTTAGGGTTTCATCCTAGAAAATCTTACCCAATCTGTATTGCTAGTATCCTGCTGTGGTCCGAAAGGTTACTAATCCTGCTGGTAGCCGAGTCTACGACCGGATTGCATTATTAGATATTACTAGGTTAATATAGACGATAAAATTTAAGATAGACTTACTCCTTACACTGGTGTCTGAACTTTCCAATGGTAGTTATTTGCATCGCAGTCCATAACCAGTTCCAGTCCTCGTGTCGTATAAGTTGGTGAACTGCTTTCGGTGGTCCTTCTCCTCAACGTATACAAGGTATGCGAACATTAGCATCCAGATGCGCCTGCGCGGTATCTATATGCTTGTCCGTAAACTTTATGAAATCGAGCGAGACGGAAGTGATGCAAATTAATTTGCACTACTACCAGCTTACTATCT